GGGGGGGGGGTTGTTATTCTAGTGGGTCATAATAAAGAAGAATGCAGAGACGCTCACTAGTACGAAGACACGAATGTGGACTTGATTCCCGTCAGGTCCTCGTGGTCGAAGGTTCTCACGATCCAGCCGTCTCCCCCGTTATGAACGTTCCAGTGCTGCAGGCGCTCTGCGCGGAGATCGAAAGAGTCAGAGTTAGTGGAGCACAGCCAAGAGGCCAAGGAAACCAACCAGTTCGGGACATAACATGGACGCAACCCTGAAAGTCGGGGCAGGAGGAATTGCGAGGAAGGTGCTATACAAAGAGAAACCCATTTAAAAGTACTTTACTAACCACCCTTTTCCCCCTGCCTGAATACACACTTAAGAGTTTACAACCCGGGAGAACTCCGGGACCTGTCCAGCTTGCAGGCTCTGTCCCGGCGATCTTTTAAGTGTAAATCACAGCGTCCGAAATTCAATTCTGCGTGCGACTTCAGTCCTGCCCCGCACTGCCCTCCCGCGAGCGGCGTCTGGAATCATTTCTGCTGCGACTTTGCAGCCTCACTCGTTTTCACTGCTGTCTGAAAAGCTTTCAAAGCCAAGTGAAACATTATGCCAAGGCCTGGAATTAAGGTATGCGAACATCTGTGCTACATGAATGCTTCTTGATTTAAAGTTGTATTAATCATGTTTAATTGTAATAATATTGTGTTACTGCGCAGAATCTTAATATTTTTATTAACATACTTCAATGAATCATCTGTCCTATTCATGCCCCATTGAATCCCTGTGAAAGACAGTAAAGGTTTTACAGAGCTAGGGATGACTGTTAGGAATGATTTCAACACTGCTTCTTCTACCTTATGAGTTATTGATGAATGAAACAGGGTTGCAGGCTGGTAAAATTCACTGTGGAAACATTACTTACAAAGCAGCAGCCATTGTGGACAAACGACTTTTGAGCCTAAAGTTTAAAGTGCCGTAATAATAATTCTTGACACCATAAGTGCAACATTAACAAACAGAGAGATCACAAGGCTGTTATTATTAATAGTACAGGGCTGAAGGGAGAGGTGTCTCTGAGTCTCCAGATACCCACACTGCTCTTGTTTGCTTGCCTGGGGTGGTTATTTACTGCACCCTGCCCCTGTCCGCCCAGCTGTAAATGGGCACAAGCACTAGCAGGGGGGGTAACTGGTGGTGAACTGCTGTAACTTCCCATCAAGAGGGAGTCATGTGCACTCTGTCCACCTGCTGCTGCAGAAGCATGGGAGCAGCAAAGGATTTCTGAAGCAGTCTGACTTTTTAATACACAAAACAAGACCAGGGCTGCAGGCTCAGCCCGAGCACGCCTCTCACCGAGAGTAAATTCATGAGTGAGCGCTGGTTGGCTTACCCTGGTTTGAAGCTCAGTGTGTTGTGTACGGGGACACCCTAGTTTGAGGACCCTCCAAGCTCTCAGCCCATTTCTCCCGCCCCCCCCCGAAACTCACCTGCGCCGCAGGGGTTTCGGATGAGGTTCCTGTTGAACGGCTGTTTCAGGTAGAAACGCCTCCAGTCGAAGTTGGTTGGGAGGTATCCGATGTAGAAGGTGATGGCGTTCCTTTCCCCCTGGCACTTGAACCTCCAGAAGGCCTGGCTCTGAACGATGGCCCGCCACCGTCTGCACACGTGCTGGCAGTCGCTCAGCAGGGTCTTTGCCGGCAGGTGGCTGAGAATCAGCACCAGGATCTCTTCCGGGGCCACGGACAAGTCCATTCCTGTCTCGGGGTCAAAGGTGTCCAGTCCTTCATGCCGCTTGTGCTGAATTTGACCCATTCGCCTTTTTTTCCCCTGAAAGGAGCAGAGTGGGAAAACAAATTCCATTTTTTTTTTTAAAGAAACAAGCACAATTATAATGGCTGTTATTTATAAAGCGCTTTTCCAAAACCCAAGGATGTTGTACAAAGTGAAAAAATAAAAAAAAAGACAATATTTTTTTTAAAAAAATAAGAAAATAAATCCGGGGTGCAGTCCAGAGTACAGGTACAGGGAGAACCATCCAAGACAGACAAAGGCTAAAATCCGGAACGGGATCCGGAAGAGGAACAAGGAGTTAAAAACAGGGTAACGAGGCCAGGCGCTCCGAGCCCCGGACTCAGACGGTCAGGACGCCGTGAGGAAGCCTGTGCCGTCGGGTCTCTCCTGGACCCACTCGTAGGCGAGCTTCCAATGCTGAGCCAGGAATAGTGGGAGCTCCAGGCTTAAATAATAACAAGGAAAACAAGGGACAGGTGCACATAATGAACTAAAATAGGAAAGGGTCGGAGCGCCTTTAAGAGGAGGGATGACGATCGTGACAGCTTCCAAGTCAATGAATTTTATCTGAACATTCTGTAGTATATATTTTTTCTTGACACCTAATGACACAGGATTAAACAGTCCACACTCTAGTTTCATGACCTGCCAATGCCTTACCATCAAACAATGATATTCACACCATCCGCTGGTGCAATAAAGCCCAATCCATCACTCAGGATACCTCAGCACGTACTGTGCTGCCCCATGTGCTCTGGCAAGCGGTACCACGCTATTGAAGCAGGGACCACTAGGCTTAAGAACGGATTCTACCCTACTGCACCCTTCTACCCTTAAGAACAGCTACCTGTGCAATGCCTCAGAATTCAATGCACCTCTGCACTTCTGACTTAGCTACCACGTATTGATTGTCCTGTTTCTTTACTGTCTGTACATACTGTCACTCTTTATTATGTTCTGTTCTGTAATGTACTGTCGACATTGTGTGGCGTTGTCTGCTGTGCATGTCCTGAGAGAACAGCACGAATAAGATTCCCATTGTACTGTATACTGTATGTACACACACTATGGCTAATGAACTCCTCTATCTCTGTCTCTTGCAGCAGACCCCAAATATTTCCTTTATATACAGAAGGGGACCCACTTCAGACACCTTAATGTGCAGCACCCAATCTAAGCTGTATGCATTTCATTACTGAAGCCATCATTACTGAGTCGAGCTCTGGAGAAATGAAAAAGGTTACGTCTGTGATCTAATTCATAACTTCACGTGATGCATGGAGAGGCAAGTCTCCTCCCTCAAAAGATATTGAGAGTTCAAGCACATATACTGCTGTTTAGTACACTCCAGGAACTAAATTCACAACCTCATTTTAATGAGCTTTTGTAATTTTTTGTTGCTATTTTTAGAATTTTACTACTTTGTTAAAACCGATTGAGCAACGATCTCTGGACTACTGTAATTTACAGTGAAGCGGTAAAAGCTTCTGTATAGCATTTAAGCAGCTGGCTTTCTTAAGACCCCGGTTTTCTGTGTTTTTAATCCAAGATTTTAGTTGTACCTCTGTTTTAAAGAGCACGTTAATAGTTATGGTTGGCCTCAACTGCGTCACGACATTTTTGGATGTAAGTTACTATCTTGAGAATTTTTACACAGTCCCTTCAGATGGTCAGCTACACATTCAGTGTTTATAGTACAGTTTATAGTCTATTTTCCGTTCAAATTCCTCCTAGCTATAGTGGCCCCAAATGTTTTGTATATGTTGTAATTTCTGCTTTTGACAAAAACCTACTTTAACACTGTGCTGTGTTCGACGTTATCACCGCGAACTATTTCTATGTTGTCTGTTTTAAAATTAAAAATACTTCTTTAGGGAGTGTGAAAATGCACTTAAAGTGTTTTAAAAATGAAACTACAGCTGCTATGCCGAACTGCGCGTAGCGTGTCATTTAAAGGAAAAGACTTAATAATTATCGAGTTTATTACACTCCATCCGTTATTACATACTTTTTAAATATATATCTATATGTTAGAAAACGTTATTCATTTGTTCGCAACCGATAAGCTCCTCAAATATAAAACATGTTGGGGTTTTTCATAAAACCAAATTGAAAGTAAGAACCGCGATATACGGGCTTCTTTTTTTTAAGTGACGTAAATAGGCGGTGATTTCCTTCGTTTATGACCTCTCTGTTCTGTCTTACCTGGCTTTTTTTAGACTTTTTCATTAGTATGGCGAGATGAGGGAGTCCATGATCAGAATCACCAGAGACCACCTTCAAATGCCGAGACCAGCTGACTTCCTGGATTCTGAGGAAAGAGCGCAGCTGTTAGGGACCGAGTCGAAATCGTTAGCGAGCTTTCAGAAACCTGACCTTGTTTTTGATTTAAATAAGCGTGTGTGTCGAGGTGGACATATACTTCAGTGTTCTCTCTCTCTCTCCCCTCTAGATGTAAAACACCCATTTCCTTTTCACAGATCCCTGAAATCCCAGCATATGATGGTGTCTGTAAGCTGGATATGTTGACTCCATCTGAATGGTCAAGTCAGCCACCCACTGCACAATGTCCCACCACCCCTTAGCCCCCAAATAAAAATATATTACCACTAACCCATGCTCCTTAACCCCTCTGTGTGATCCCAGTTATAATATTGTAACACTTCGGGGGTTCACATGGGCGCCCTCACCACTGCCACATCAGGTCGGCCCCCCACCGTCAGGGACTCAAACCCAGGCCTCCGGCATCACTCAGCAGGGACCCAGCCTCTTGAGCCAAAGGGAAGTCTCCCTTCAGCCTGGCGGCTGCGGTCCCTGCCATCCACAGGGAAGGGCGGTGACGTCACCGCTCTGGTAAGCCGGCTCTCACAAGCAATGGAGGCCGTATGCCTTACAATATGCATCAGTGACAATGTACACTGGGAAGCACAGTGGCACAGCGAACAGTGCAGCCTCACATGACACTGTGCCCGGATTTCCTCCCACACTCCAAAGACATGCAAGAAGGTTAATTGGCATCTGAGAAAATTGTCCCGTGTGTGTGTGTGTTTGTGTGTGTGTGTGTGTGTCAGTGTGTCAGTGTGTGCCCTGCAATGGACTGGCGACCTGTCCAGGGTGAACCTCACTTTCCCCATTGCTTGAGGCTCCGGCTGCCCCGATGACGAGGTTGGGAAAATGGGTGGATGGACAATGTATTCCATATTTGGATCCGCTGTCACTCGGACTGGGTAAGTGGTCATACTTAAGCAGGATCTGTAGCTGAGAGATACAATGAGAAAGCGCTAGTAAGAGGTCTAGCGCAGCTGGCAAGTTCACCATACCGTACAAAAAGCCATGTCATTTGGACACTGACCATGTGGCAACCCTCCATGCACTGGAACTGGAGTTTCTGTACATTTGTAAGCTCTTGTGAGAGGCTGCACTCGTAGTAAATGGATAGAATCCAGCCTAAAAGCTTGTTTCCTTTATCCCAGGACAAGGATGCCCCAGACTGTGCCAGCTTTTTAATTCGCCCATCGCCATCTTGCATCTTGTATTATTTCTGATTCAACTAGAATATTCTCAAGGTCGTTCCAATACTTAAATGTTGGTTCATCTATCATAAAAGAGTCATAAAAGGAGTAAATTAGATTATTCAGAAGTCATTCCCCGGTTTGCCATTATTGGTGGAATACAGAAGGTTTATGACTGTTTGGTCTCTTTATTGCAGCGCCACACCTGCTTGTCCAAAGTTCTGTGAATGAAGCCTGTTGAGCTCAGGGTTGTTTCAGATCACTCAGGCTTTGGTTTTCCTCCACTGAAACGTGGCTCCTGTTTCCTGCGGTACTTCAGGTAATTCTGAACTCAGAGCAGCCCGAGAAACGTAAGAGATTTTTGGGTGCATGTCATAGGCTTTAGGAAGGGAGTACTTTAGAAGGGAATTCCATCACCGTCTACATGTTTTTCTTCCAGAAAACAAAATGATCTGCCTAGACTTCGGTCCTTTCTTTCGCCTCATGTTGCTGAATCCCAGCAGACCTTGAGGAGAGAATCAATTCAAAATTGATCCTGGATATAAAATGAATTTGTTTGAGTAGGGAGCTGCGTCAGCATGCATTGGCTACAGATAAACATTTATTCCCTGCAGAAAGGAAAAAAAAAGAGACACAGTGTTTCAGCTGTGGAGTCTTCTTCAGGTGTAAGTAAGACTCATACCTGAAGAGGCTATACAGCCAATTTGTAGTGTTTCTTTTATTTTCTTTACCTTTCGATATGGAATGAAACTTTAAGTGGCGCATAAAAGTACGTTAGTACGTTTTTACCTTTACCATAGGTTGTCTTGCAGGGTGTGGCATATATTCCTTTGTTTCGTTAAATATAATGTGATAATTTTTCTCTGTGCATTCTTGTAAGTGTTAGTACTTCTAGCTGTAACAGGGGTCTGAAGTGTATGTGCTTCGCAGGACTTCGACGGAGAAACTGGGACACTGTAAACCAGTCGCACGACTGCCCTGAGAATGAATACTAAAGGTATCATCTTGCACTATTCCATCATGTAACCCAAATTCGGTTCTTCTGGTAACACAAACACTTTGTGAGCACACACTAGGCACAGATGGTGAATACCTATTGCTACTGTACTTAGATAATAAAAAGAGTGTATTAGCTATTGTGTTAATTAGCTTTCCTAGCTACAAGCCTGGAAATGAAATTTCACCTACCGTTCTTACAAGTCTCTTGCAAGTCAGAAAATTGTGCTTCTTTCACTTTCCTTTTTCTGAAACATTCTTGAAACCGCTGAAGTGTTGTAGTAACTGCATCTACCTCCAGTGTTTGAATACTGACACACCTGTCCCCGATTGGATCGCTGTGATGTTATGTTGTTGTGTGTGTGGTTTTTTTTTTTAAATAACTAGTTTTTAACAACCAGTAGTAGTTTTCTGGTTGACAATCTGTGGGACAATCCCACATGTTAAGAAGGTGTTCTTCTCCGTGATTACTTTAGACATGGAATGCACATTTTTTGTGTTTAGTTTGTGTGTGTAAGGCGATTATTCCCCTAATACATTTGTGAACAAAAAGAATCTAAGATTTCAAGTGGAGTTACTCTGTGTGTAACTGGCCATAATCTTTGTCTGTAGCTGGTGATAAATCTTTAAAAAGCGCCCATTCTGGCACTGCACGATTTGGATTTGACCCCCTGGTTGAAATGTTGCGCTCATCGTCGGCGCAGTGAGGCAGATGTTTTTATTCTCCATGCAGTTTCAGGAGGCTGTGTTCTCATTTCTGTCTTGTACCCGCAGGTCAGCTTTCAGATGCAGTCTATGCCTACAGTCTCTCCCAGGCCCTGACAAAAGTGGCTCCCCCTGCGACTATAGGCCTGTACTCGTCCTGTCGAACCCGCCTCCGCCTGCTCAGGAGAAGTATTGAAAGTGCGTCCCCTCGTTAGCCAGGGCCTTCCTGTTCCATCAAGCTTCTCAGTTAAGGGCGTGCAGGACCACTCAAGACTCCTAACTGGCACTTTCTGACTCAGCTGTCAGTTACTTTTATAATTTAATTGCACCCCTAATGCTCAACTATGTTTAATTAAAAAGGTCTAATTAAATTATTTCGATTTAGAGCTAAAAACCTAACAGGAATGATTTGGTAACTTACTGTTACTAAGCACAAAGACCCAGACCTGTTACAGTCACTACAAGCCAAAACATGTTAACGTGGATCATCCTTGTTTGCGTTGTCAAGTTCTGTGTTGATAGATGAATTGTCGGACTTATAATTCAGGAAGATTGTAAATGAATTTTCTTTAAAATCTCAAAATGTGTGGCAGACAATAAGTCCTCAAAACTTCCGCCTCATGTCCTTCTGCATGCTTGTGCATCACCTGCTTTCTTAATAGAAACTCTGCTTTTGTCTTCTGCTTAAAAAAATATTTCTCTGATACTGGAAAGTACTGTTTCCATCAGTATCCCTGAAGACCTCAAGTTATAGTTAATTAATCTTAGGCAGTGGAAGAGCTCTAGTAACTGTTGCCTGCTGCATTGTCAGAGCTGTGCAGATTCATGCTGCCAATAAACTGAATTGCTGCTGTTCTGGAGTTGGCATGGCAAGTCATAAATGGGACTGGTGTCCAATGAGATAGAACAAAGCCTTTGCTTGATGTCTGCTAATGCACCTCAAATGATGATATGGCTTTTATCTTCCGCGTAGCTCACGTGAACAAAGAAGCCAAGAAGAGAGAGCAGGACTATAGGGCACAACCCCCACCGAGATCGCATCAGCCCTCCATCCAAAGTCTGCTGAATGTTTTGGTGAAGATGATTTTCTATTGGCCTGTGTGGACCACGGCGCACCAGCAGAGGAAGAATGTCCGTTATATCTTTGTGGAGTTCAGCGCCTGGCACTTTGCAGGGAGTGACCTGCTGTGGGCAGGGCTGGCAATCAGACTCTGTGAAGCTTTCCAGAAGAGCTTTGGGAGGCTGGTCCTCAGTGTGTATCGTGTAGCTCAACACACAGAAAATGTAAAAAGGAAGGTCATCCAGGAGAGTGTGGGAGAGTGGAGAGCTAAAAGGGTCTGCTGCGTTCCTCTCTGGTTGGTTTGCCTTGCTGTGCTCTCTGGGGTCATCGCGTTACTTGGTCTCATGTTAGTGGTCGGGTTGCCCGCTGGGAAACCAGGGGAAGATGGTATTGCCGTGGTAGAGTCTCTCGCCATCGCCACACTGGGGCTCCCAGCCGCAGGCGCCATCCGCTTCACCATTCTGCTGGGGAAGAACCTCATGTTTAACCAGGACATCAACATCAGGAAGGCGATGGACAGCTCCAAAATGAGCAGCCAGCTGGGCTTCATGAACGAAGTGAAGAAGGAGATGGAGGTCCTCTCCAGCTTCATCCGTTTCATGGAAGTCTATGAGAGGAGGAAGATCCGCGTGGTCCTGCAGATCACCAACCTGGAGCGGTGCACTCCGGAGAAAATCGTGGGGGTCTTAGACGCCCTAAACATCTTACTTTCCGATGAGGAAAGCCCATTCATTTCCCTGCTGGCTGTCAATCCTCGGATCATTGTGAAGTGTGTGGAAAGTGCTGGCTGCTATCACAGCTCGGAGGACAATGGCTACGCGTTCCTAAATCGCATTGTGACTTTGCCCTTCACCGTACCTGAACTCTGCGACACTTCCAAACTGAACGTTTTTAAAAATCTCGTCAGGGGCCAGTCAGACAACCCGGAAGATTGCATTCCGGATGAGAATGAAAGAATGGAAATTAGTATAGCAGAAACTCCATGCCCCAAGGATGACTCGTCTGTAGAAAGTGGCTCGCAAAATGAACTCCAGAATCTTTTGAGCAGTAGCACTTCGCAATGTGACAAATACCACATTGATGCTGACAGGTTGGAGATGATTGAAAGTGTATTTGAGAAAGCTATGAATGCCATCTGCAATAAGAGAAGCCTTTGTGAATGCATCGGGGATAATAGCATAAGCATGAGGAGAATAATCAACTCCGTTAGGGTGTCGGCCACCATTATGGTGGCAGTAGAAGCCGAGCTGTCTTCTCCAGACACCATTGCAGCCTGGGTGGTCCTGGCAAACCAGTGGCCTTGTCGCCTGAGCTGGATCTTGCAGTGCGTGGAGGATGACGAGCAGAGAGCAGAGATCGACCAGGGCGGGGGCATCGACGACGGCAAGACGCTGTGGGAGGTCTTCAGCGAGTCACGGATCGAGCTGCACATGATCCGAAAGGAGATCGCCAGCCTCCTGGAGCAGGACGGAGACCCCGAGCTGTTTGAGAGGTTTCTCAAGGTCGACTTCCCCCTCACCATCAGGGTCGCTAACAAGTTCAGGTGTTTCACCGTCAACCTCGACCAATCCATCAGGAAGGAGCTGGCCATCTATCGAGGGAGCGCCAGCCTGAAGGATACCATGAAGAAGACGGGCCACGCCCCTCTGCCACTGAGATCGGTGCTGAAGATGGACATGGACGATGTGTGCAAAGAGGTAAATAGCAAAACCTCTCACAGACACAGCCGACATAGAGGGGACAAACTATAGACATATAACATACCATTCGCTTTTTATCCAAACAGTAATTTCTGAATCCTTAGTTCTGATACCAGTTTTCATTCTAAAACTCCTCTGAGTCTTATTAGTTGGTCCGAATGATGAAGGCTGGGATTCCGATATTCATGCACAGAAACTACGAATAAGGCATTTCACATCTAGCCTGTGTAAAGGGCTGATTACATACAGAATTTATTGCTGTAGATGACAACCCTACGTGTGTAACAGGTCCACTAGCACATGAAGATTCTGTTATCACTCTGTGGGATTTGCAAGAACATCTGAGACCCCTGTGGCAGGGGTCTGGCCTTTTGACGGCGTGTGTACCACTCTAGTCCGGGCTGTGCAGGTTGGATGGTGGAAGGTACCTGGTACAGTCATTTGAAACAGGAGTCTGACCGTACATACTGCACGTATAATTTACACCAAATGCAGACCCGTGTCAGAATATAATCATGACACTTTGTACAAAGATAAGGCGAATACAACATTGTATTATGGCCTGATGCACATTCAGGCTTGAGTCAATCATAGGTGAGATTTGCTTTTACATTTGGGGCCCAATGTGAATATGTGACATAAGGGGTCTTTCCTTATTTATCAGCTGTCCGCGTAACTTAAATTTACAGATGATGTGACATCAAATAGTTATTTACCTAGTATTTTTTGCTGCTATTACTTATGTATTTAAACAGTTAATAACAAAAAAGCCTTTAGGAAGGGTAGATCGAATGGATTAATTTAATCTAACTACACAGTTTTAATTTTTCAGATCCATGCACTGATACTCCATTCGAAGGTGGCAGAGACTGCATATTAGGGCCATGATGAATGTGTTTCTGCTTTTGTTTTTTCCAGATAAGAAAACTAAACCTCCATGATTCCTATGCTGAGACCATCAAGCAGAATAAGTTGGACGGCGAGGCGCTGATCTACAGCAACAATAGCGAGATCAAGGAAGTGTTGCGTATGTCTCTGGGAGAGTGGACTGTTTTCAGCATTCACTTCTTGGGTGTGAAACCACCGCCTGTGTCCGCAACTACCGACAGTGTCACACCGCTGGGCCATCAACTGTCACGCCCTCTGCAGCCAGAGGGCGCTCCTTCTCTGTCCTGTCCCTAGTTTCCGGTCTGCTGTCCTTCCTGTCCCTCTCTTTCCCTTGAGCTATATATTTCCGGGTCTTGCACTCTGTCCTCGCTCAGTATTGACGTTCGGATGTCTTGAGACCCGCCTAGCACCAGGGCGCCCCACGTCCGCTCCCTGAGGGCATAGGGTTCTATACGGCATTCCTGAACTCTTTGCACTAATGAGCCCGGGCCTTTTTCCCGTCTCGCCACTACGCATACGGGTCTTTTTCTGCTCTCCTGCTCCCCACGGTTAGTCCCTTTGGACGTCCGTGACAATCAACCTAAATTCCCGGTTAGTTCCAAGGAGAATCTGCCTGGGCAACACAGCGCAAGCACACTGAAACTGCATTCATCCACTGACATTGCAGTATAAGAGGTAAACGACACCAAAATGAGAATAATGAATGTGCAAGCAAACGAGATTGAAATTGTGCAAAGCAACAAATGTCATACACAGGTGGTAAATACGGACAAACACAGTTTAATAAATACAAGCATTGTCTCTTAGATTTATATTTTAAATCCAAGCATGCCCAAAATTGAAATGGGATTTTTTTTTGAGGGGGGACAGGGCTGACATAAAAATGGTCAATCTGAGGCCTCCCAATTGAATACTCAGGAGTTTAAACTGTATAGTTTCGGTCCTTCCCCCTGACCTCGCCTGCCAGTGTCAGGGAGATTGGCGCTCATCCATTTGATTGATTTTATGAGAATCAGCCATAAAATGATCGATCGCTGTGTCTGGCCACAGATGAAATTTGATTAGTGGTTTGAACTGCCATTTTTTTTTTTATTTAAAGAGAGAAAAAAAAGCTCAGTGTTTATGTGTTCACACAAACTGCAGTCCACATCACACTCAGTTGGGTCTCTTGGAAATTGTTTTTCTGTCAAAATCGCATGAAACATTGCGACAGTGCAAAGCATTTACAGGCTGTATTACTTGGTGTTGTCCTGGGCAAGTTGTTGAGCTGCAATATGCTTATATTGAATGCAACATTTCACTCCATAAAATTTTGAACCTGAAATTAACTAAGCTTTTTTTAATAAAAAGTTGTCTTTTTCAGTCTTCCAGTATACTCACAAGCTCCAGTTTACATTTTTTCATGTTCCCTTGTTATTCTGACCATATGCCTCTCCATTAATCATTTCTGTAGTTTCTCAGTTTTGCACCTGGGCTTCAGTTTTATGTGGCAGTACTTATATATACATACTACTAAAAATTACTAATAAAGGAATTTACTAGTAATTGCAGATGAGTCTACCTTCAGTGGCAATTACAGTTGCATGTCAAGGTGTCGATTCCAATAAGTGTTTGCAGGTGTCTGCAGAGATATGGTACTTCTCTGCCCACAGTAGCTGCCCAAATCCTGCATGTGATCTGATTAATAGCGAGCTGCATCCGATACAGTGTTCTGGAATGTATCACATGTGCCCAGCAGTGGCGGAGCTCCAGCGGTGACTGCAGTAACACAGTCTGTATTAGCCAGGTCTGCTGTTGCCTTCAGCAATGCACCGAAGGTCTTCCTTCCCATCTCACATCACACTGAGGAAAAGGCCTGGTCCGCTATACCTTTACAGTCCTCTGGAAACATGAGTCATGCCCACTGCAAAAGTGGCAGCAGCTTGCAGGAACAGATGGCAACTCAATCACTGCCAGATTTCGAAGCCTCATCTGAGCACGGTAACAAAGCAGTCTATTCACAAGCTTCACCTGTGCGCATTACACTCTCAAGGATTACTTAGCATTTCAATGTAATCTATGAGTTCAGACAGTATTAGGTACTCTCAAAAATGTTACACGGCCTGATTTAGTCAATTTGGGGTTTGGGGTACTTCGGGTACAATTCGGGGTACTGTTTTGGAAAAAAAAACTTTGGCGCACTCTGAAAAATATTCACAGATTGAAACTGATTTCATGCTCTGGGAGACAATAGAACTGAAGAGAAAAATAAAGATGAGTATTTGTTAAAACATACATACAAAACAAGACCAGACTAAAATTTTTAAAGACAAAATGATGCATTTCTGCTTGCTGGGACAGGCTCCAGCTCCCCCGCGACCTTGAACTGGATGAAGCCGTTCGAAAAAAGCTGGATGGACGCTGCATTTCCAATGACCCCAGCACAAACACATCCTGTTCCTCTGCCGAGGAAAGTCCCTCCCCTTGTCCTGTGCTCTTCTCCGCAAGATGAAGCCTCAGGAAGCTGGGCTTGAATAAAACCTGTTTACTGCAAACAGGAGTCGAAGCTTAAAGGGTGACTAACCGAGGTCATTTTTTTGGCATGTCCCAGAGTGCTGGTGAAAACATTTGAGAAAATCAATTATGAATAAGCCTTCCCTTCCTCTGACTCCATTCAGAATGGGCTTTAGTCTTCCGATCTCCTTTTATCCAGCTATTCTGGAGAAAGGCTACGCCTGTCATCACAAATGTGTTCCTCTGGCTGCTGGAGACTGCGGTGGGCACATACTGCACAGCACATATGGCCGACCTGACTGGTTTGTCCCCTGTCAGCCAGTTGCATGATGTGTGGAAAACCTGTCGTCTTCACACTGGGTCCATCTGGCTGGTAGTGTGCTGGGGACAGGAGTGAATAGAATTCCCATAATGCACTTTTTAGAACAGGAGTGGGGGTATTTATTTTCAAATTCTAACCAGTAGTGAGTCTTTTATTGCCAAATCCTCATTTACTCACAAAAACACCTCGACAGCAGAAGCGCAGTTTGCAATCATGAAAACAACAGCAACAGAAAGCCAGTGTACAATACCCACTGCAGACCTCCCAGCTTCCTACACCACCTGGCAGTCAGAGCAGCGTCGGCCCCATCAGAACACGATTAGAGCATACCCATCTTTTCTGACCAGGTAGGAACATGGCTTTTTTTATAGGAAAATATTCATTGTATACCATAAAGCTCTTAGGCCTCAGCTTTACTGTCGTTCTGTTTAGCTCCTCTTGGAAAAGAGCCACCACCTTCACAAAAAACACACCCCCTTACAGCACCCTCCTGGTCTTTCACTTAACTGCCTCTTTGTGTTTTCTACTGTTCTCAAGACCCCTTGATTCTAATAACTGTTATCTCCTGTCATTTTTTTTCTTACTGTAAAGCACCTCGAGAAGCTACTTTAAAAGGCTCTACATAAAAGTTTTTTTCCTATTATTATATTATAACCAGGGCTCACTGTATCCTTGGGAAGAACAGTATGAATGTGTCCTTGCACACTTTGCCATGGAATTAACTCACTGGAAAGGTGTGTTCTTGTGTCATTTTACTCTGTCACTACTGTTGAGCTAATTGGTTGACAGCCCAAACCACAGTAACATCACAATCCAAAGCAGAGGAAGTTGTGATCTAATATTACAATCTAATATCTAATTTTACATCTCATCCGAAGGTCCTGACTCTCTGTGGTCATTAAAAATCCCAGGGCGTTTCTCGTAAAGAGTAGGGGTATAACCCCAGCGTCCTGGCCAAATTTCCCATTGGCCCTTACCATTCATGGCCTCCTAATAATCCCTATCTATGAATTGGTTTCATCAATCTGCTCTCCTCCCTACTGATAGCTGATGTGTGGTGAGCGTTCTGGCGCACTATGGCTGTCGTTGCATCATCCAGGTGGGGCTGCACACTGGTGGTGGTGGAGGGGATCCCCATGACCTGTAAAGCGCTTTGAGTGGAGTGTCCAGAAAAGCGCTATATGAATGTAAGCAATTTTTATTATTATTAATATGGCTTATCCCTCTTTCTCCCTGCATAAGGGTGGAATGGAAGTAGTTGTGTGACAAAGTGAAAAACACTACCTTAACTCTTTGTGATTTTCTGAGGCATGACACAGGGCTTCAAGCACAGACATACTGTGCCAAAGTGACTGTAGACTGGGTCATACAAAGACACGTCTGGAACAATGTAGCCTTTCTCCCACTATCCTGGATAATTTATACTGGAATTTAGATCATTGTAAATTGTACAGAGGAAAGTACAACTATGCCCGCAGAGTTGAAGTACTTTTACTAATACAAACTCTAGATGACTGTGCAATATCTTTTAGTCACTTTCTCATTTCAAGTTTTATTCACAGCATGATCCTGCAAAGCACGACAATGCTGTGCGTTCTGTAATACCGTCACAAGAAGAGGGAGCCGGGAGCCGGGAGCTGGGGGCCAGTGTACAGTGTGTGCGTGTGGCTCGCTGCAGCGTTAATGGCACTGAAGTCAGCACTCCTTAAGTCCGAGCTGGGGAGTGCTTATTCTGATGTCGGGTAGCAGGTTACAACTCGTGATGATGTCGATCTTTTCCGACACGGACTTCAGGTCCTCCAGGACAAGGCGGATGCTGTGCGAGGCGTTGATGATGCCGTTCTGGGAATTGTTCAGGTGAGCAGTGGCCAGGCGAATCTCTTTGGTGGCGTTCTGGTACACCTGCCTCACCGTCTGGGTCACGTCGCCGCACAGGCGGGCGTTGCTCTCCTGCAGTTTCTGCTGCAGTAACGTGCTGTAGCGCCCGCCCTGCCGCAGCCTGAGCACCGGTTTCTCCTCCGCGGCCGAAACCGGACTGTCGGGGGGGTTTCTGATCACTATCAGCGGGGGCAGGTCCTTCTGCACGTCCTCGGTGGCCGCCCGCACCTCGATGGGTCTCGTCGCGCCCCCGGCCTCGTCCTCGCTGTCCGTTTCCGAAGCCTCGCCGAGCACTTTAACCCCGGCCGCGACGGGGTAGGAGGAAGACAGGGAGGTAATGTAAGCCTCTTCGTCCGAGTCCGTCTCAGAAGCCTCGCCCTGCACGACGGTCTGGTATTTGTTACTGGCCATTACCTCTGCCGGCACCTGGTAGTATGCAAACATACAGTATATAAACAGCGTCGAGAGGTTCACACAGAACTGTCACCAGAGCAGAAAGAAGCTGCAATGCCACAGCGCGCTGCGTTCCAGCCGAGTGGCGCGTTACTGTACCATGTTTTAACTAGCAGTCAGTGGTGATGGCGCTTCCCGTGTTTCCTCACCAAAATAATCTATTTGCATAGAAACTCTAGTGACGAGCAAGAGGAGGTAGCAGAATCCGAGCTCTGTTGCCTGATGCATAATACAAAAAGGCAATGTCGGTTTAAGTTTTTACGCACCGGCCCTTCCTCTGGAAATGAACAGAATGCCTTCAATCAATATCCTAAAACAGCGACATGCTAGTCGTGGGTGCCAATTAAAAGAGACTTTTAAAGATGCAATGCTTCTGGAGATTCGCATTTGCAAACGCTACGTGTTTCCAGTATGTGCGCTTAGTGCAAATGCGAAGCACCTTTTAAAAGTTTGATTTCAACTGCAAGCCTGCTGTATAGTCACCAACTGCTAACTTTCAAAATGCCCTATTTCAGATCTAGCGGTAGGAACTATTTAAGAAGGCTGAAAGAATCCAAGCTTACAAAATATCGAAAACATAAATAAAGCAAGCTTAAAATAAAAAAAATTGTATCTGTAGGTACTATACCTTTTTCTTCAGATCTACAGCTGAGCGGAATCACATGAAATGGGAGCCACCCACGTGACGTCGCATGGTCACAGCGGTGCCTCAGTAGCCAATCAAAGGGCGTAGGAGGGAGCACGTGGGGGAGGTGTAAACAAACTCCTGTCATATGACCAGAGCGTGAACATGAAGCTACCTTGACGCAGACGAAACCTAGACGCTGCGTAAGTTCCAGTGAAGGGATGAAGTATTATTTATAACTGTAAGCGTTTTCACTTTCTTAACCACTAAAAAGCAATACGGAGAGAGGAGGCCCTTTAATGCTGTGTTTTGTGCATGTATTTTTTTTTCCATGGCTACGTTATAAACACCTATTCTATATTTATCTAATACGGTCACTGGAGCGTTTTACGTCTTGACAGTTCAGTTAAATATAACATTAGGAAAAAATGATCATGTATCGTGAGTTTGTATTTGTATGGAAACCAAAACTGTAATGTGTTTTATGATGAAGAATGCCCACATCTAGCGAAGAGATAATCTTAGGAAGGTTGTGTTCGGGGTCAGTTTTTTCTATGCGTGATTTTATCGCCATAACTGGAATATGGGATATATTTAATTGGCCTGACATTATTAGTGTATTGCCATCTGAATGATTGAGGTCTAACTTTCCGGAAGGGTAACCGAGCACTAAATTAGGCAGCATAAGGAACAGAGTGTTTTTGTAATTGCACAGTCGTGCCTGCCTGTACACTATGCAGGTGAGCGTATTTCTAAAATTTGATATTAATTCTAAATCCATAAACATAACGATAGGGTAAGTATGGACATTTCTGAATCAACGTACAGGTCATAAGCATTACCTTTAATTGAGCTGACTAGATATGTACCTGGATAAACTGTAGAAATGTTGCCTCAAGCTCATAATTATTCTTTGTTCACTGCATACACGTTCTTCAGCAGTGCTGCAATTAACATAGCCTGCTCTGCTGTGTAGTATCTATGTAGTATTGCTGATGTGTGACTCAGCCTGCAACTCTGTTTGACTTTACTCCTGCACAGTCTCCTTTACCGAATCATGTTGTTCTCTACACTAGAAACGGCTTTAGGTTCTAGAGCTCTTTTGCTGCTTATTTCTGTTTTGAGACGGCTTATTGTTTGTAAAAACTGTGGCGTGTGAGATGTCTCTTTTGATGTCGGCAACGCATGCAGTAACTCAGGCAAACTGTGCTGTTAAATGATCTGACGAAACCCCTAGAGTTCGGACGCCTTGTGCCGATAATGCTATAAATAATGAAAGCGCCTTCACGTCCTGTAACTCTGCCTGCCTTCTGTCTTACCTCTCAAATTGCACAGGAGCATCAGAAGCCTGTTGTTCGTCACTAACAGGACAGCGGGCTTAGCCTTTCGTTTGGAAGAGACTTTGGGAAGTCCACCCGACCCGTGGTAGCTCCCCTGCGCTTTTGGGGAAGCGCTACCGCTCGGCCTTGTCTGTTTGTCTTGTCTGTGAAAATAAAAGCAGCAGGCGTTAAAGGCATTGCACTGCAGTTGCAGGTTAAAAAAAAGGGGGGGGGGGCAGGATTGGTCCTCTGCCTGTTCACACGATCGCTTCAGCCAGCATCACATCAGGAGAAGGTGACGGTAGCGCAGTGTATTGCGTTCCATGTTCTCTGCTGTAGGGAACATGGTGGGAAAAGGTGTGAGGTCTGCTCTGCAGAGGTAATAGAGTGCAGGTAGAGGACCCTCGAGCTCAGTGCAGATGGGAGACAGAGAGCAAGGCGCACCTCACCAGGCCTGTTTCTGTTTGCATTGAAGCCCACCCGGCCCCCGCTGCCCAGAGGGCTTGCTTGCGGAGGCGACGACCGGAGGAGGAGGAGGAGAAGGAGGGTGGGCAGGCTGGCGGGCGGGAGAGTGGAGACCATGGACCTGAGCGAGAGGAGGCCCAACAAGTGGTGGACCGAGACGGACACCTTCACCATGCTGGCCCTCATCGAGGAGCTGGACCTCGTGCGCGAGCTGGACAAGAAGCGCCAGCGCAACGACTCGCACTTCCGCCGCCTGCGCCACAGCCTGGCCAAGCGCAACATCCACTTCACCGTCAACCAGATCCGCAACCGCTGGAAGAGCCTCAAGCACAAGTACCGCAAGATCAAGACGGCCGGCTACCGCAGCGCCGCCGCCAGGCTCTCGGCCATCGAGTCCTTCCGCTACTTCAAGAAGCTGGACCGCATGCTGGCCAGGAGGCCCAAGGGGCCCGGCCAGCTGGACGGAGTGGGGGATGGAAATCTGGTGGTGCTGTCTACGTCCGAGCTGGAGGATCACACCGACAGTACTGCCGCCTCTTCCTCTTCTGACCAACCCGACCCCCTCTGGCCATCCAAAATTCGCAACACCGGTCCCGGCCTTCACTGTCAGCTAACTGCTCCCCCACTCAGAAAGGGGCAGTTTGTTCAGACTGGCTAGAGTGTCCCATAATTCCGTGCCAGGGGCGTCCACATGTGGTCTTTAAGGGCGGGGGTCCTCCAGATTTAAGCAGTTTAAGACCTGGAAAAGGTGTTGCGATTTTGGCAGATCAAATAAATGGCTAATTAAAATATTGCAATTCTGGACTACGCTTTCATCCTCAAAATAGAATTTTGAGAATCACGATTCAATATTACCATGTTCAATTCTCCTACCCTTCTAAATGATGTATTAAAGATTGGGAAGATCTTTCCCTCTTCTGTGTTGCTGCTGCTGCATCATCTGGGATTCCCCTTTCGCTCCCAGGTTTACTGCTCAGTACTAAAGTTACTCGTAAGATACTCATGAGTCGGAAATAGAGAGACTCAAAACAATATCTCAGAACCTCGACTCGGAAGCTGTGGAGTCAGGCAGTGTTGTTCTGACCCCTGTACTTCCTGTGTGTGGGCCTAAATAACTTACCTACCTCATTACCATGCAGCTGAAATCTGAGAAGCGCTTTTTGTAGAGCCCTCCTTTAGCAGTGATTACCAGCTTACATTTTCCAGCTAAACATTCATGCACCCGCTTCTCCTTTTGCCCATCCAAAACTAAGCCTTGCAAAATGAAGATTTTAATATATTGACAATCTTTGAAAGCAAGGTTTTTGCATCTTTAAACCCTTTGTAGTTTTTGAGAATCAGTCTAGAAAGACCTTCTTTTGGGAAAGCAGGTCACATTGATCTTTAATTCTGCAGTTGAAAGGATAGAGTTGAAATCCATGTATCCCTCTAAAAGTTGCAGAACTGTATTCTTGAAGGTCTCTAATCCCGTGCCATGCTCAGGGCAGGGTTTCCCGATGAAGCTGTGTCTTTGGTTACCTCTGTTCTCCCAGGTGATGTTCCTCACCCCTGCTCTGCAGTCGCCTGGGAAAACTTTACCAGCAGGATGGAGGGGGACAGTGAGGATAGCAAGGAGCATCGGGGAGAGCCCACGGACTTTGCCCCTGCCCCCTGGGACACGGGAGAGGAGGTGGTGACCTTGGGGCTGTCGGGGGAGTACCTGTATCCAGTGAAAACCGAACCACACTCACTGCCTTCTGCGCATAGCCGAGATCCCACCGGAGATCCTACCTGTCCCAGAGCCTCTCCGGGTGAGTTCCAGGCCGGCTTCATGGAGATGTGCCGCCAGCCCTTGGACATTTTGTGTTCTGTGTGATTCACTGTGGTGAGTTTCGGAGAAGCATCTAAAAAAATACAGGTTCAGTTGTAAGTGTCGGGTCACCTGCATTGCACCCAGGTGGACGTGCTGATGGGTAATTTGCAGTCTTGAGGCAAACAGACTTCCAAGATGCCCATATGCCCCTGCCTGTGTTTTTGTGGAAGAATGAGATTGAATTTGTAGATAATCCAAGTCACAAATATAAAAGCTTGAACAAGTGCCAGGTGTCTGTATCGTGTAAAGCTGGACAGTTTAATGAATGGAGCTGTTTGTTTCTGATTCAGTAGTCACAGCAGGAGGGCCTTCCATATTTGCTATGAAACGCCACGGGAAATTCAGTGTGCTTTGTATCATGGGTACTTTAACTGGATTGCTCCTACCTTGTTGATCTGAAAATCTCCCCTAACTGTTCCTTTAATATGTTTTCCATGTTCTAGAGTGTATTGCAGAAAGATCTTTATGATGAAATAAGTAGAAGGGTTTCACCACACGTTCCTCTAGGCTTCACAGCATTCTGCATTACTTCCTAAGCAAAACTGAAAGCTGAGTAACTTAGGCTGCTCTTCTAAAGTAACTCTAAGACTGAGGGCTTCACTGCTCCCTGCTCCTGTCTCTGTCGGTATCCCTGCAGGGACCTGTGAGGACATCAGCACTCTGATTCTGCAGCAGCTCACCATTCTCAACCACCGGCTGGGGGAGCAGCTGGCTGAGCAGAGGGCCTTTCACTGCAGCATGCTGGGGCTGATGGACCGCCAGATCGAGGTCCTGCAGCAGCTCTCCAACGCCACCCGGCCCTCCGCCAAGGAGGGAGAGAGGGAGAGGGACTCCTCCACCAGCCAGCAGGTCCACGACGCCCTGGTGCACATCCTGCGGGGCGTGGAGCAGGCCCGGGCCCAGGGCCTGGTGCCCAGCCCCTCCAAAACCCCAGAGCCCGAGTCCGCCCTCCCCTCCTGGACGGTCTCGCTCCTCGAGGTGCACCAGGGCTTGCCCCCCGCCAGCGAGAACTCGGCCGGCGCCGCGGCTCCAGCGCCGCAGCCCCAGCACGAGGGCCGGCCAGACCCGCCTGGGGCCCCCCTCCCCGAGCAGCCGCCACCTTCCCCCCGCCGCGGGGTGCTGCTTAAGGGGCTCTCCATCAGCTGCCAGAACAAGTGAGCCGGAGGCCAGAGCCGGCCAGCCACACTGGGAATTCCAAGAAGCAACGCGGAGAAGAAGAAAAGCTTTCAATTGGGAAAGGGGAGAAAATTGATGCTTTTTTCGATTGTTGGGGATCATAACGTTAGTATCCAGAAATTCCTGGCCAACCTCTGTTCGTTAGTCATTCAGAAGGCTTCTCCTACTGTGGCTGCTGCCAGGCTTGGCTCGTAGGGCACTCCGAGTTTGACCTTTCCCATTCACCACCAGCACACCACAGCACGCTATGCTGACTTCAGTATCCACCTCTGCAGGATGTGATCTTCACTGGTGCTCCTGAGAGCTGGCAGACCTAGGGGGGTGTCACAGTTCTTGGCCTTTTGCCACTGAACAGCCTGTAAGGAAGGACCACATTTAACATGTTTTTTGTACGCTTCATCAGAACCGCAGAATCAGATAGTTCCTTCCTAGTTTTTGCTTTTGAAAATGGAGTAGAAGGGGTCTGAGACGTCAAAGAACTAAATCACTATGGCACAGGGGGACCCAAACTCTTCAGAAAGATATACAGATATGTCTCTTTGACTGAGAGAGTGTTGTTTTGGGCAAGAAAGAATCTGCAGACTCCTACTGAGCACCAGCACACAGACTCCCTCAGAGCCTAATGGATTGTGCACACTGTAAGTAACTCTACAGTGAAGTAACTGTCTTTCCAATCAACCCAAGCCAACAGCAGGCTGAGAGGAGGCTGTTTGTGTTAATGATGGAAACACACACTCCTCTACCAACCAGGGAACACTGAACTCGAGTCGGCTGCTTCGCAGGTCAAGTCTGTCATTCTGTTTAACCCGGATTGGATCTCTTCAGGACATATATAGCATGGCTCAACGGCGCTGCCTTGCAGAACGGAGTTGAATTTTGTTCGCAGCACAAGACCAGGGCTCATTGCACTCGGCCCAGCCCAGTGGAATCCTGTCTGGCCGTGCGACTTCTAAGCTTGAATCCCAGAGCAAGCCGAGCTAATTCACCATGTTGGGAAACCTGTTTGACCAGCTTTACAGCTAATAGTTTTTCCACTTGTTTGTGTTTTTTGCGCAACAAAGATGTTCAAGTGTTTCTTGCTCATTTTCAGTCATTATGCTGATATTTAGTTATGTTTTCTGCTGTAGGGGTACCGTGGACAATACTCTGCTTTCAGCCACAGGACTGAATTTTCTATAGTCATGAAAGGAAGTAACATCCTTAGATCCTTCCAGTGAGTGTCTTTGGCATTTCAAGAATTTCAGCACATAGTATCAAAAGCAAAAAACATGGATATTCTGTGAGCAAAGGAGAATGGAATATTAATTTAATTTGTGATGAGTTGCACCTTCCAATTTTTTTAATTAAAAGCATAAGTAGCTTTCGCGTTTCCTTGTTTTTATTATTTCTACTTTTTTTTTCTTTGTGAAGCGTTGAGGATAACAGGAATTCTAGTGTGGCAAACCGATGATTTTCAGAGCCTTTCAGGATAATTGTGAAATGCATCTCTTTCTCAGAGAGATCCGTTTTTGTTTCAAAACAAATGTGTGTGTGTGTTCGCTTCCCATCAGTGTGGTTCTGGGTACAGTTGTTCAGCTCCTTCAAGAAATACAGTTTGAGTTAGTTGGGTTTTATTTGGCATTGAAATTCAGTGGCTTTCCACAGTTTAATATATATGCGTGAAATAAACCAGGTTGTGTTGCTTCAGTGACATCAGAATAATGAGATGCAGAACCAGCTTATGCCTCTGTTTACAGCACAAACACTGCGCACCCTTAATTTTTTTCCTTTTGTTCAGTGACAGAATAAAGCAGTCAGAGGACGCTTAAATAATAATCCTTGTGTGGCCATATTCCAAAACTTGTAGCTCAGCAGGGTATGTAAGTATGTTTTAGTTACCAGTCACTTTAAAACCTGGAAATGGCATTGAATTTGTTCACCTCAATCAATAACTGATACAGTGCAGTGAGCTATAATAAGTGAACCCCTCTTGCTTCTCTCCCTGTCTTCGAGAAACAAGTGCACTGTGCTGTGTGAGAACATGAAGCCATAAATCAAATTATTTTTCTGTTGCTGACAGTGTCTCTTGATCTGAACTTCGGGATCTGTCTGCTGGGAGGTGCAGGAATGGGCAAACCCCTTGGCCTGGTTAATTATTCATTATTAGATCTGGTTAATTACTGTAGGAAGCAACAGTATACCAAGAGAATTGCAATTTGATCTGTTACACCTTTACCGCTTCTTAACTTTAACTGTTTCTGTCAAGTATATTTTTAAAGCAACAGAAACTGCAATATGACAATTTTGAAATGAACAGTATTGAATTGCTAACAATATAGTAAGCGTGATATATTTCTGACGTAACTGGTGCTATGGTGAGTTAGAAACAGTACTGTGCCCTCAGAAAACGTAAAACCTTAGTTCTGGAACCAAGTTCTGTCTGCCTCATCTACACCCTTTTCTGATAATATAGGTTTTGTAGCACGAGTTTCGGACAGATGATTATACAAATAGACTAGTGGCCTACTGTATGTTGACCGGATTCAGTGATCCTGAAGCTGTACTCGTCGCAATCATACGATTAAAAAATGACTTAACGACACAACGTCAAGGAACAAACCACTTGTGATGTTGGGAAATAGCTGGGGTTTCCTTTTTATCTTCATTTTATTTCTTTTAGAAATGGAGTGGATCGTGGCAAATTTGTTTTTATACGTTTTGTGATTGTAGAATACTGATGCCGAATTTGCGGCGAGCGCATTGCAGCCGTCGGTGCGCTACGTGAGGTTTGGCCCTCGACGGTATCCGTAAACAGGAAGTTAGCGTTGTGGTCGACTGAGGAGGTGACGGTTTGTTTGTGTTTTTTAGTTACTTGTTTCAATACAGGTAAAAAAAAAAAGATAAAAACTTATTTTTAAACAAAACAACTTTGACTTCCTCTTTTGATTTTAATTTGATATCCAGCGTTATTAAATCAATCTAAGGTTTTACGAAAGATTTGTGAATTTAACGTGTTGCCCGGTTAAGTTTTGCTGCTTCTTTCGAGTTTTTATTAAGTTACTTTAAAGAGTATTATAGTTTGGACGTTTACTAAGCTCATATATGGTGTTTAGAAAAAAATCTCTCAACTTCAAAAATTCTGAAAATTGTATGTAGTATCTACGGAAGCTTATTAGCGCCACAGAGAAAAAATAATAATTTTTGGCGTTTAAACGAGAAGGGTTTTGCGTGTAAACGCGATACTATTGCGTTTATACGAGATAATCTTGTTCGTGGCGCTAATAAGCTTCATAAGTATCAGTATGTTTAGCAGTCATTTTCATTTAATTTCTGAAACTAGAGATCGTGAGATAAATATTAATACGCTTCGGTTGTTTTCGTATTGTGTTTTAATCAGTTGTCCATTTTTTGTATCTTTTTTAAATCTACGTATGTATAAAGCGTTACGAAGTGAAAATAAATCTCTGAAAGTGTCATTTTAGTTTTTCGTAATTCCGACATGAATTGTGTTTTTTAACCATTACATACAGGAAGGCTTTCAATAATTCTGCTGCGAGTAAAAATGACAGTCGTGCAAATAATTATGTCTTCCAGTATTCCGAGGGAAGTGTTGCTAGAAACGTAGAAAGACAGGTTTGTAATAATTTACTTTCCTTGATGCTGCCCCATCATTGAAGTTGAATTAATTAGTTGCATGTTTTCTGTACATCAGTTTTGATTTCAAGGAATGTCAAAGTGCTTCCCATATAGGAGACTCCACTTTACCTACTTCTGAAGTGTAGCCCCACTACACAGCCTAGCAGGTCATGGAGGTGCAATTACACTGACTTCCCCCACTACTGAATAATTACAGATGGCTAACTTTAATTGGTTGATACAGATGTACCATACATTTGCATTTTTTATATTATTACAGCTTTGTAAGGTACTCCTGCACTGTCTGTAGATTGTTTAAAGAAGTGCTGTTACAGTAATAATGTTCACAATGCCAATGAAAATGTTTTGCAGTTTCAACTATGGAGGATGAAGCCCTTTTTGAATTCCTCCATATGGAGATGGTGGCCCATGTGTACAAAAAACACACATCCAGGGAGGAGACAGAACAGGTACTGTAGTCAAAGCACAGGACCGTTCAAGTCCTTAGTAGTGCTGTGATCGGACTGACCCTCGTAAATGTTGTGTTGAAAATTAGTCTACAGTTGAACTGTTTCACGCCTAGTTTCTGTAACACTAAGTGGGGTGAGATTGAATTTCCCCCTGGATGCGACACTTGTCCATCACAGTTTTACCCTTGACTGTGCAGGTTATGTAGATGGGTGCACTGGAGCAATACAGTTTAGTACCTACTGTAGCTGCAGAGTATGACAGCACCATACAGAGCAAATCTGAATCCTCAAACTACTAATTAGAAGTCTGGAAACCATATTCCTACTCTCTTCAGAGAGATGTTGTAATTCTGATTGCTTTATGCTGTTTTTGTTGTTGTCATTTTTCTGCAGGAAAGGGGAAAGTGCATCTCCGTTTTGGAAAGGATGGGATTCAGGGTTGGACAGGGACTTATTGAAAGGTATTATTGGCTTTAGTGAAAAAGCACAGGACTTAAGTACACACGTGATGTTTGGTGATTTTTAGGCAGAAGGAAAAGTGATTTTGTCCTGATACAATTTGATGTTGCTTCAAGATGGCCAACTTGCAGAATACTGGCCTCATTATACACGAGTCACTTTTGAAAAATTTACTCAGATCCCGTTTGATTTTTTTGACTACCGGTAGAAAATGTCAGGATGTCACAGGATCATACTTGTGGTATGAGAGAGAGAAGGCTGAGTGAGACCACACATGAGCTGTGTTCTCTCCTGCCATTCATCACTGGACATTAGCCTGAGAGATGTTTTCCAGTTCTGTAATTAGTTTGACACACTGTTCCTGTTGCATAGACTTTAAACGTTGGTGAAAGAAGCACATTACCATCATAGGACTTGCATTAGGCTGTAGTTTTAGCCTCAGAGTATATACATAGGGTACTGTATTTGTTTTCAGTTTTAGCGATTTTGTCTGTTTAAGGCATGATGGTGATGTAAATGTACAGATGGTCTAGCTAAAGGGCACTCATGTGCCATGTGAACTGCCTAAATGGACCCTAGAAAGTCCCCAATACAGGTCCGTCTGAGTCCAGGGAGTCGGAAGGAAATTAGGTATAACATTCCAGCAGCAATACTGAAGCCATATGAAAGAGAACTAAACATAGAGGCAAGAAAAAGCACATCATGGCACTATGAAATATTAATCAAAATGTTTGACATCTTCTGTCATATGTGCAGTTATCTTTCAAATGTTTTGCTGTTTTATGAAAAACAACAATACTATATTCAGGTAAACAGGTTGGTTTCATTTACAAAATTCTGCACTGGATATACTTTTCTAAAAATATTTCAACTATACTGTATATAGATTTTACTTAGCCAGTCCTCTCTGGAATATGCTTTTATGAAAAAGTGAGAACATTTCATTTAAGAAAGATAATTGAGGACCTTTGCTCTTGGCTCTAATGTTTGATGTTATCTTACTGTCTTTAAGGTTTACCAAGGATACTCCTTCTTTCAAAGATGACCTGGACCTTATGAAGTTTCTCTGCAAAGATTTCTGGATATATGTTTTCCGGAAACAGATTGATAACCTGAGGACTAACCATCAGGTACAGCAGTGGGGATATTGTGACAATTTTTATATTGGGATCTCAATTAACTATTTCTTGGAAATTAAGCTATTGTGGTAGTTGCACTGATAGTTTAGTGGTTACTAGATTAACAGTAGATTATGTGACATCAGTATGACTCCTGTGTGCTAACACCTGGACCTCTGTAGCTTTTATTGACAGTGTGTTTTCTAGATCAGGTTCCATCTGTGTTCTTTTGCCTTGAAGGAAGCTGAGATTTGAGCAGTCTAAGTCTTTTCAATATAGTTTTAACAGAAAATAAATGTGATGGGTCAGTTGCCAGTGGAGTATAGACATATAGCCAGTGTTTGTTATAGATGTGCTGGGAGAGCCTGGAACTACTGAAATGAATTAGAGTGGATATATCCTGTTGCTGGTAATCCTACATGGGAACAGCAATTACTGAAGCAGAGCTCCCCCCTGCTGTCTCACAGGAGCACAGAGCAGCCGCTTTGCTGAATCTCATGGTAAAAGCTTTGCTTTTATTGCTCTGACAGGGGACATATGTCCTACAAGACAACAAATTTCGCCTTCTGACACAGCTCTCCAATGGCAAGCAGTATTTGGAGGAGGCCCCTAAGGTAGGTGTTTGATTTCACACACAGACACTTACGAAACAGAATTAAAACTATTTCTTGTCTAAACCCTGCAGCCTTATAACAGTGCCATTTAGAGAGACAGGAACTAGAAACACATAGACATCAAAATGTTTTATTTGCATACAGTAAAATGTTATGATTAGTAATTTGGTCAAATTGCTTGCTGTATAATCATTTTCAATAATTGGGATATTAATCAGCCACCTAATGTTTCTGCATTGCCTTCAGTTTACTGGATTTTCAAATGTAATATACTCATTTCATTTCTGTATTTGTTCCTTTGATATATATCATTTATGTAATAGCTCCTGTCTGAACCCCTGATTTTCAGGAGCACCCCCATCATACATCCTTAGCTCCGCCATGGAGTCTGAAAATAAGCAAAGTGCACATTCTGAAGGATGCGTGTGTTGTATTGTTTTTCGCTCTGCACCACACTGATATTAATGTGCGGTATGCTTTACTAATTGTGTAGTTCGTATTTTCAAATAAAGCAGTAAAAATGAAAATTGTAAAGTCTTAAGAAAAAAGAGGAGATAGGATTGCTTTGCCGTTCAAAAACCAGCAAGTACCTTAATGCTTGTGTCTTAGTGCAGTGGGTCCAACTGGGCCAAGTTGTTCTGTGTGGTTATTTGTTGGTTCTCTGTACAGTACCTGGCCTACACCTGCGGAATGGTGAGGGGAGCCCTGTCCAACCTTGGGGTCGAGAGCGTGGTGACAGCAGAGGTCTCCTCTCTGCCATCCTGTAAGTTTCCCCTGATCTAACATTTTACATTAAAAACTCCATCTATGCCACAGTGAGACCAGGTCTGTTCCACGGTCATTCATGGTTTATTTTTGCTCACACTGTTTTATGCTGTCACTAGTCCCCAGATTAAATTAAGAGGGTGTAAACAGATATTAAAGTAATGCATTTATAACAGGCAAGGTAGAAAGTAAGGGAAGAGCATTCAGTTCATGTAGCTTATGTGGCTGCTATTAGCTAATTGATCTCATCTAGCTGAAATTATATCATCTAGCTGACCAGGTGCGAAACGCAGGTAGCAGTGGAAAAGAACTTTCAAATCGATTGCCGACTAGAATCCACTGGGGAGCCTTCTGGTAACTGTGTATTGAACAATACACTCTTCAAGGATGTTTGTATGTTTTTCTATTTAAATCAGAACCACCTGTATTCTTCCTTGTATTACTACTCAATTTGGAATTAGCACTATTTGGCTATAGTTCCTGTCCCCACACAGGGAGAAAGCAATCCTGCAGGTATACTTGTGACATGTCTTGCAATCAGAGCCATTCTTTGACACTTTGCAAGCTCCAATGTATCTTAAGACAGAGTTAGCACCAACTGGATGACCAGGGTGTCTTTAAGTGTAAGCATTCAGACATCCACTAAGTTTCAGGGGTCACAGTTGTGCCAAACGTTAAGAGGCCTCAGGCTGATGAATGCCCAGCCTAGCCAGGTGTCCCTTCAGCAGTTGCAAAAAAGCCACTTAAGAAATCCTATCCACAGCTGGCTAGAAACAGTGATTCTGACTATGGGAATATGTTGAGACCGCCTTTACTTGCTGAGCCAACCAGAAGGCTGGAAGATCTTGTGTTTTTTAAACCATTTTCTGTTTGTTTTCTGGCAGGTAAATTTCAGGTTGTGATCCAGAAGACTTAGAGAAGACATTCTGTTCATGTGGCACTGGAGTTGTCTTAACGAAGCAGAATGTGTGGGAAGTCTTTTGCAACCCAAAAGCAGAAACACAAATCATGGAAGAATGTCTGAGAGAAGGGCTTTCTGAATAAGAGGTATATGCAATTAACCACTGTAGGTGTATGCAGATTTGTGTCTTGAGCAGACACAGACACAGTTAAACCCGTTTGACAATGAACCTGCATGCAGATGCCTGGACAGAGATCCGAGCTAAGGACAGTACCAGTGGTTATTTTTGTCCTCAAGATCAAATACACATCTGCTGCTGTTTTTTAGTTTTTTGTATGTCAAAATTAAAATCTAGGAAGAGGTGTATTATTTATTTTCCGTATTCATTTTTTTTTCAGAACTTTGATAAAAAGTGGGACTTAGGGAATTGTAGGTTTTTGAAAAGCTCTTTGTTACATCTTAATAGAATAGGTCTGTGTTTCATGATGATGTGCTTTTTTTATTTTGACAAGGGGATTTTTTTTCTTTTGGTTGTAAGACTTTGTTTTTCATTCTGTCACTTTGTGCTTTCTATGCATTGTGTAATTTTTGGATTTCTTTCACTATAGAAAGTGAAAAGGCTCCAGTACCTGTTTTATAGTCATTTGTTGGGATATAAAATCATTACAGTATACAGCAGGTTTCATTTGTGGTCTGACCAGTCCAGTTTTATAAACAACAAAAAACAGTTCTGTATTTGATATCACTGGTGTAAAGGATTGAAGCAAACCCGATCAGTTCATTTTATCATTTATTGCACACAGAAGGGTGGCTTGTGGAAATTTAGGACTGTATCTCGTAGTTACTCAACCAAGATTTGTTTCTGTGTTCAGTAAAAGCCATTTGTGCTGGGGCTTGAGTAACTCATCTTTTCTTAGTAGCAAGGATTGTAACTGTTTCTCATTGAACATCTTTATAATGTAGAGTGGCATAACAAGTTATTTCCTCTGTCTCCGCATTATTTGTGATAAATACTTTTACAGAAATTACTAACTAAATGTTAATGCTGGTTTGCATTGAATACCCCCATTGCATTTGCAAGCTTTCCTTTGTCATGTTTTTTTCTGGTATTGAACTTCTCTAACATACTTTGAGAGTTAATACACAGATCCCAGTTATTCTTAAATGGATACCATTTTTTAAAATTGCATCTTTCCTTATTGTACTCTGTTACAAAAAAACCTAATTTGAAGGCTGCAGAGGAACTGGTTTATTTGGAGTAATGATCTTCTTTGGTCACAAGGTGGCAGGATTGTGTAAAGGTGAAAGTATGTGCACGCATTAATTGAATACTTGGAGTTCTTACAGAGCCTTATTTATGCTGAGCATTAATAGCATTGACAGCATTATTTATGCTGTTCTCACTTGTGAAAGACATGTTATTGCTGAAAACCTGACTGTTCACAACAAAATGTCTTATTGTGTTCAGTAGGAATACAAAAAAAAACAAATAATTGGTTGCATGTAGAGATGATCAAAAGAAATGGCTATCAATCACTGTGTTTCATCAGTCCCATATGTGTATGACTATATGTGAGACAACACCAAGCTCTAAAAGGAGAAAACGTAAGCACAGTGGTATCTGTCGTTGCCTGGCCTTGTGTGTTACATATGGCCTACTGCAGGTTGTGTTGTAGAAGGTTTATGTCTTTGCCACAGGTCCTGGAGTGCTGTGTGGATAATTGGGAAGGCATTTCACTTCTTGGGATGCTGATTTTAAAGGGGCAGTTTCAATTACACCGTGCAGCCCTATAAAAAGTAGTACCTGATTACTCTCTTTCCAGTCTTTTTGAACACAGCACAAAGAAAGCAGTCACATTAAATTGACTTCTGTGCTACTGTAGTTGGTCGTTGTGCCCTGTGTTTCTGATTTGAAAACTGCTGCTTAAGTTTCAAGTAAAAAGGAAGATAATTGGTTTAGTGGCTATCAATTGTGTTTTTAATACTTGAAGTCTAACCAATATATCAATATATTTAATTTACAAAAAGCAAATATCTTAATATCAGACTCTCAAATCATTTGATATTACAGATTAAAATGATCAGTTTAGGAATGGACCCATGTGAACACAAGAGCTTATGTTTCTAAAGCTGCAAAGTAAGATCTATGCTGTTTAGCTAAAATTATTAAGAAATTCTGGAAATATTTAGTATTGGAGCACAACACATACTTGAGAATATATCTACACTATTTTCCAAGTAACAGTGCTGCTGTTTTATGGCAAAGAACAAACCACAGGGAGCCCTTTTGACTTAGTGATTAAACTCAGACCTCCAGCTGTTTCACTCTTGCTTTCTTTTCAGCAGGGGGGTCATAAACATTACCCTGTTGAGTACAGCTGGTGACTTACATTACAATTATTATTAGTTGTAGCAATAGTAGCACGTTAACTTAACGTTAGTGGAAATAATAATAAACTTCCAAGGCAACCTTGTGGGAGAATACGGTTTTTATTTAAAAACAATACAAAACTTCTCTCTTTGTGTTAACAGCCAACTCAGCAGCGTCTCTTTGAAAGTGGAAACTACACAGGTTCTGGGAAAAGCTTCGCTAGCCTGTTGTGTAAAAAAAGTGAGCTTCTTGTCTCGTCAGACAGCCTATCTCTCTTACTAGCCTCGTTTTCATATTCATCCCCTTCGTTATGAGCACATCTGCCTCTTTAAGTGGACTAATATGAACCATATGTGACCTGCAGTGCATTATGGGTTACTCAGCCAGGCGGCAGTTAGCTGTGTAATTGAGAAACCTGAAGTCTCAGAAATCTTTGTTGTTGTCCCTCTCCATACATTTGTCCTTTAAAATAAAAATAAATGGGGTGTAGTTAATGCTTTAGAGAAGAATATCTGAGGATACATTCTTTTGAGTGTTGTGACTTGTTTCTGTAGGAAGAACCATGTGATTTCTTTTTTCCCTTCTGTTGCCTGTGGTGGCTTAGACAGGCAATGACAAACAACCTTGTTATAGTCCCTTTAAACTCCTGCAGGTTCTGGAAATACAGAGGGCTTTTTATGTTTTTCTAACAAATAAATTTCATTTTATGTGAAGTGTGTGGCCTTTATCTTCTTGTGTGCTGGTGTGTTGTGATTGTTGAAGCATGGATTTGTGAATTTCCCAAGTGCTGAAAATATTTTTTTCTACATTTATGAATCTCCTCAAATTGGGACATCCAGTGACTGAAGGGTAGATTTCACTTCTCTAAAATGCAGCTGTGCTTGTGAGTAAATGAGAGAATGAATGTGTGTTACTGGATGAGCTGACAGAGATGTTTGGTCTTGAAATGCAGACCTCTCTCAGATCCCCTCTTTCACAGCAGTGGCAAGAGGATGCTAAGCAGAGGCTCGAAGTCCTGTGGAAGAATTAAGGCAAGTTGTCTCTCAGCAGAACGTAGCCTTGGCTTTTTTTCTGTCTTCTTTCTGTTTTGTTATTGCTTGACAAGGGCTGCATGCAGTGTTACCTTCAACCGACACGAAGGGAAAAAAAGGGGGAACTTGATGCTGCTATAGAAGGTGCAGAGAATTGTTCTCTGGGTGAAAGGGGTAAATGTGGGGCAGAGTTTACAGAGTGGCCACTGACATTGTCTGTGTCTTCCATTTGCACAACAAAGCCTCGGATGAGGGAATCTCACAATCTCACTGAAGGAGGGGAGAGTACAGCAGCTTCACCACTTCGTGCTCTCCTTTTTGCTTTGTGCCTTAGAAGGTACCCGCCCCCTCCCCCAAACTCTGACGGCCAGCGTGCTGGAGGGACAGCTGTGGAGCAGCAGGGCAATGGGACTGCATTCCCATGCCTGTCCGGCCACTTGCTTCTTCCACAATGTGATCAATAAACTTGGGGGTTTATTTGGATTTGGCCATTATTGGCCCCTATACCAAAGCCAGTCATTGGTCCAGTTAATAGAATGGAGTCCCTGTGCATTTCCCCTGTGCCCTGGAGTCTAATCTGTGGTTAATCATGGGAACTCATGCCATGGGAATCGGGGAACCACAACCTATTTAAAATGCTGTTTCACATTGTGGGTGGAATGAATACAACACTGGCTGTGTTAAAAGCCCTTTGTTTCCCTTGTTTGTTATTAATCATGTATTATTTTTAATTCCAGAGGAGATCTCTTTTCATGCTACTTTCCATGCATGAAGATTGTGTGATGGGAGACCCCGCTGGCTACTGCTAGCCCCTGTTACAATGCACATACTGTATGATGTGCTCCTTTCCTCCACAGATTTTATAATGAATATATTAAATTGTCAAAACGTAATGCTGGGTATAGTTCAAACAGCAGATGAGGTGAAGAACTGATATTCTCTTCTTCAGTGGTAGAAGTTTTTTTTTCCTCTCTCTGATACGCAGAAAACCAGCTTTTCTTAAAATGTTGCTCATTCCCTAGTGGTCCTTAGTTTTTGAAAAGCCCATGTTTTGTTTCCTCTTTTTCCAAACGAGAATGAAAGAGAAATCTGTGTCTCAGATGTTTTGCAAGTACGAGCCGCGTTGTTTACATGACCTGGGTTACGTTTCAGGTTTTGCACCCCGGTGGACCCGTACAGTTCACTCTGGGAAAACACAAGCCAGATCAATCACAGCATGGCTTTTGCAAAAGAACTTTTTATGTGAAAGAATTAAAAAAAATGAACTGCACCTAATCACTTCCCCTGGATAAATGAGCTTCATGGTACAGGAAAGGAGGAGGTCTGGAGAAACTGAGGTGGGGGGTGGCAAGTCAGTCTTGGGGTAGGGTCTAGTGCACAGCATCTGCACTAGTTTTCCTGTTGGTTGTTTGGAGAAACTGAACCATTCTTGCTCTCAGCAGCACCTAGCATGCAATAAAAGGTGTGTGTTTTGTCTGTGTGTCTCCTGAATGCCATTATCAAGAGGATGCTTCAGCTTTACGGACTCTTTTTCTTTTTAAGATGACTTATCTTAGAAGTAACTTCTAGTTTCAAGTACAGTGGCAGACCAAAGTTTTGACACTCTGAATTTGACATTTGCTTTGTGAAATGTTGACAATCCATGTTAATTCATACTATACTTATCTATCAATGATGCATTCTCTTACAGCAGTGAACATTCTAGGAAACGAACTGGTTAAGTAACTTTATTGACATTAGATGAAGCGTGGCTGACTAGTAAATCCTTTCTATAAAAATAAAGTTTATGTAACAAATAACCTTGTTTCAGGTCAATGGTGCCAAACATGTCTTTAACTGTGAATGTACATTGTGAGCATGTCCTTGCATTTTCTAGTTAAAACTCTTGTATCTGCTAGGAAGAGAACCAGTGCTTTGGATGGTGTGGGTTTTGTTCTGCCTTTAAAATAACTGGCTGCTGTTTTCCCACCTTTTTGAAACTCCTGCCCTCCCCCTTCATCCCTGCAGTCTTTCACCATCAGCTTTCTTTGTTTTCCAAAAACCATTGCAAAGCAGGAGCAAGGAATGTAGGATATATTGAACCCAGCTTGATTACGTTGTGTACTAAATTCTGTGTTGTTCAGATATGTTGTAATCACTGTGCTGAAGGAAATGTTCTGCCAAAGCTTTTTTGGAATACGTTTGTTTCAAGACAGTTCTTGCTTGGAGGGGTTTTTTTTTCTTGGCGATTGTTGATGTCAGTGCTGTTTGCGTCTTATAACATCTCAAACGAGCCTGTCGTCTGAATTTGTGGAAAACATCACAAAGGTTGCAAAAGAGAAGAGAGCGTTCAACCCATCTGGCTTGTTTGGGAGTCAGTAGTTAATTGATCCAGCGATCTCATCCAGTCAGTTTGTGAAAGAAGCCAGAGTATCAGCAACATAGTTGGGTAGATTTTTTTTTTTTGCTGTAGTGGTAAGGTCTTACCGCAGCATTTTCAAAACCCAGTTTTATCAGGAGCAAGAAAAAAACCTGGCTGTGCAGAACTGCTTTGATTTTTTCCAGAGAGCAAATTTCTCAAGTGACCTTATGATTTAGGCCCCAGCATGACGTTTGCAAAACTTTCAGAGGCCTGAAAAAAGTTTCACAGTGAACATTAACCCAAACAGAGAACACCGTGTACCTTTTACTTTGTATATGTGATTGACTCATACTATCTGCATCTATTTTTACAGCAAAAGAAAATGCTTCCTGTTGTTACGTGATATACAGAAGATCTAAACTTGTCATGCATGTCATCATTTTCATACTGTTGCTTACGTGTTGCTAAGCATAAACCCTTTGTGGAATGGGGTTTATATTTTGTTCTAGCTCAGGACTGCATTTGGGGAAAAAAGAGAGAGAGAAGATTATTAATTATTAAGATTATTAATCCCATAGGGAAATTGATGTGTTACAGCAGTCTAGCCCAAGACAAGCAAAAACAGACATCAGAATAGTTATAAAAACAGAAGACAACAAAATAAATATTAAAAAATAAATAAATAACTGTAGAAACAATAATGTATGTGCAAAATGTGCATAGGTTTATACAGACTGAAAAAAAACTGAATTTGCTACATACTATTGCACAAATTACCTGGGACACTTGTTAAATTATTTAATTTGCAACATTGGTGATTGCATGGAGGTTAATGAGAGGACACATAAGCGGTGCAAGAAGTATAATCACAGGATATTAACCTCTGAAATGGGAAAGAGATGCACCTTGCAGTGAACTCAAACTCGCTTGAAAAAGCAGCAAAGATGCTCCCTATCCCATTTTGGAAATGCTAATGCTCTATGTTCTCTGCACTTATTTTAGAACTTGTTCATGTACATTTAATATCTCGTCAGGCTCATTTGTCCTTTGTAAGGCAGTTTGTTAGGAAGGAGGTTCCTGGCAAAGAGAGCGTGGCCTGTTTCTGTGTAGTGTGTGTTATGTTTCTGCGTGCTGCAACAGTTGCGCTCCTGTCTGGTCCCTTGAGCCAGACTTCATTTGACTTTATTTAAAAGCTGTGGCTTTCCATCAACAGAGCCACTGAATAACAGACAGACACCTGTTAGCTGGGCCTGCTCAGCTCTGTATGCTTCTGTCAGCAGGAGGAGCAGAACAGGCTGTTAAAGATCCACCACTGGTCACTTCCAAACACAAGCCAACTTGCAGCCACCATCTAGATTTCTGGAGCTGGCTGTCAGAGATGGGACCTGGCTTTCCTCCTTTTTAATGCTGGCCATTAAATAAACAGTAACATCTTTGATCTTTCTAAAGCCCCCCACTCCCCCTCCCCGCCTGTATGCTGTATCCTGGTTTGCCTTGATTATTGTTTGGCTGGGGAGAGGGGGGTTAATTAAACACTCTCCCTGTTACCTTTAAAGTTTTCTTAAGCAGCCAGATCTGGCAGCCAAAATGTGCACATTTGTCTTCATCTGTGTTCAGATCTTCTTCTTTGCCACAGCCTTAGTCCCAGACTGTCCTGGGGTCAGCTGCTTTGGTTGCTCTTCTCCACTTGTCTCTGTCGAGCACATCTTCCTCACTCACTTCACATACCTCCATATCTTTTCTCACACAATCTATCCATCTCTTTCTAGGCCTGCCTCTTCCTCTGTTACCTTCCACCTCAGCCACATCCACCACCCTACATCGTCTACAGATTTCTTCATTTCTGATCTTGTCCTTCATTGAAATCTGTAGAATCCATCTCAACATCCTCATTTCAGTTCTTCCCCCTTTCCATCTGTGTTCAGATGTTGGTGTTAAACGAAAGAAATCACCGCAGTTAAAACAGAAGGTTATTTTCTTTTTCCAATAAATGTGCTTCGCTTCTGCACTGGTTGAGATAGCAGTGTGCCAACAGTGCTGAACTAACTAACTATATTGTGGGAGAGTGTTACGATGACAGTGCTAACTGACAGATCCAATCAGAGATTTACAACTGAATTGCCGAAAAACATTGTAAAAAGTAAGAACTGAGTGTTTTTATATACACATGCTTTTTAAAAGAGTAATGGTTGGACCCAAAACTAAAACTGGATTTTCATTATTCTGCTTTTACTTTCCTTCTTCAAATTATTGTGTTTCGCTTGAGTCATCTTCTGATGTGGAAAAGTCTGTTATTTAATAGAATTCATAGATTTTGTAGCCTCCATCACTCCAGATCTGG